TTTTCATTGAAGAATGGTGTGGCTAAATGAAAACATGTGAACATGCGGTTCCGATGCTAGGTGGTCACCCTCGGATATATATTAACCATCCTTAAATTGTCAGTATAAAAAATTGTTCACGTTTACATACATCAATTTTGAGTCCCCAATTCTTTAATAACCTATTCCATCTTTTAAACAGGTGAACATTGTGCATGTTACATAAGTCAATTTTATAAAATCATCCGAAAATTGTCTATGTTTTCATCAGTTAATTTTTTAACATGCCCATCATTTGGTTTCACAAAAGAACAAATAGCTTAGAATAAGAAGTAAAAAAATTTTATTTTGAATTAATAATCAGCCTTAATGTACCCAAAAACATAATCAGTCTAATGATTTATAGCTTTTTCCCATGTTGTTATAATGTAACCTTGGATTGGACTATTAGAATATTTTGATGAATAAAATTTAAATTCACAAACTATTACTTTTTTTGGTGTATCAATAATTTTTTTTTTATTGCTTTACTATCTTTCTTTCTTTTCTTTTTTCACAAATTTCAATATTTATTGATAATAAGCAGAATTACAATATTGCAATGATATCACTAGAGGCAACAAAAGTAGCAAGATAGAGACCTTTCTTAGCTAAAGAATCAGCCAAATCATTGGCTTGTATGGAGTAGGTCAGAGAGGACAGAAGCTCAAAGATTTGAATCCCAATCTACTCAAGTTTCTAGGGGAGGCATTGCTCTTTTTTACACCATTTAACCACATTCATCGAGTCCCCTTCTATGATGATACCTCCCACATAATTTTCTGCCAGTAATAATTTCATACCATGAAGAATCGCGAGCATTTCAGCCTGATTAGCCGTGGTAACTCCACAAGGCCTAGCAAAAGCGAGAATAACCTAACCTTGCCAATTTCGGATAGCTCCTCCAAAACCTGCTGGGCCTGGGTTAGCCAACGAGCTTCCATTAAAGTTTAGTTTTAGCACTCTTCGATCTGGTGGTTTCCATCTGGTGCATGGTCTGTTCTTTGGCATATCCAAAAGAAAGAGGTTGGAAAGGTTCATCATGACATCAACCTCCGACAAGCCCCGGCCTTCCTTAGTCACCGACAACCACGATCATAAGGAAAGTTTGATTTTATTTAACACCATGTCAAAGCTACAAACTATTCCTTCAAACGCTCTTACGTTTCTCTCCAACCACACTTCTCACAAAATAACACCTTGGAGAATCTTCCAGATAGAATTCCCAATCTTTGGTAGAGGCACCTCAAGTTGGGTTATCAGGTCCAAGACAAATTGTGGTAGGGTTAAGTTAAGGCCCATCAACTGAAAACACCACCACTAGATTCTAGATATAAACGAGCAATGAATAAACAAGTGTAACCCACTCTCGCCATTTGCCTTGCACATGAGACACATTAGTGATAATCTTTCCTCTCTTGATTAAGTTATCAACAGTTAAGATTTTGTCTTGGACCGTTAACCAAAGGAATAATTGAACTTTATATGGAATACGCCATCTCCATATCTACGAAATCTTTGGCAGAGTCCAACGAACCTTGTCAAAGAATAAATTTTCAATCTCCCACGCCACTTCATCCTCATTATATTGCGCAATAAAAGTAAGCTCAAGTTTTTGTAACATACTAACAAACGGCAGGTAGAGATGATCATGAATTATATCATAAGGAAAAGTGATATTCCAGCTAATCTTGTCGCCTCTAAACTTCATCACATAGGCTACCGTTGCCTGCGGCAAGTTGACATTCTCCTACAAAAAAGGAAAAACATATTTCTTATGACATGATTTGTAGTATATTTAAATGAAGGTGTACCATGTACATAATTTTCAATACATTTGTGTAAATGTGTACTGTATGCATACACGTATACACTCACATACTATACAGAAGTGTGATGTCTAGATGACACTTTTGAGTTTATATTCCTGACACTTGCATCCATGTTAGAAATAGAGACACATATCCATTTACATAGCCTTTGACCATCACCTTGTCAAACATGAAAGAACGCACGTATAATATTATCCATAAAATCCTAATAACATGTGGAATGGATGCCAAGAGGAAGACTTGGCCAGCCCCCATTGCAGTGCCAAGAGGCTTATGATTATGCTACTATCATGATCATGGGGACGATGCTATTCTCCATACATACATCGCACCAACCCTTTATGACCCGTCTTACAGAGATAGCTAGAGTCTTCCATCTAGTTTTAGGATTAGGTTTGTATAAGGTGTCAACATACTATTAAAGTAAGGCAAACCTCAAAATTGTGCCTACAGATGAAGTTTCAATACTAGAAAGCTTTATAATGGCATAAAAATCTATTGTTATCCATAATTATGAAATTTAAAGCTTAAAAAAAAATTGATGCACAACTACTAAATCTATAAACAATTAAAAGTTAGAATTATACACATTGTGACAATTTATTTTTGGTTTAAAGATATCATAATCATTATTGATTGTTAAATATTAAAATCAAGTGATTTGAGATGTGTCATCGAATAAGCATAAAGTCCAAATTAAAATTTTTCGAAAATCGTAGACTTTAATCCATCAGATTTCACATGCAATGGGTAAGAATGATTGTGACATCATTACATAAAAAATGAAGGTAAATTTTCTTATAGAACCCTAATTCCTCATATTATTCATGGTAGACTCTCTTTCCATTTTTCTTTCAAGCGGCATAAGAAAATCCCTAACGATTTTACCGTACCCCCTCATATCTTATCTTCCTCTTTTATTGACTTTTGATCATAAAAATTAGCCCCAATAAATCTTTTTATACCCTTACATCGCAAAACTTTTTTAACCCTCTTTTTTCCTTTCCACCTATTAAAAAAGTTTTTGGGTTGAAAAGATATAAAAAGATTTATCAAGGCTAATTTTTATGATCAAAAGTCAATAAAAAAAAGAGAAGATATGAGGGGTATGGTGAAATCTTTAGGGGTATCTTATGCTGCTTGAAAAAAAAACGGAGTGAGGGTCTACCACGAAATAATAATAGGAATTAGGGTTCTATAAGAAATTTTTCCCAAAAATGAATTGTTTTATAATATATATGTAGGTTCGGGATTCATGATAAATTTTGGCAAAGTTTTAAGTTGAGAGCCTATCTAACACAACCCAAACACTTTACCCGGGCATGAAACGCGTTAAAGAAAAGTTTAAAGTCCTCACCTTTCTTAGACCAAGGAAATAATCCCTTAAATTTTTTGAAAATAGATGGTCCAAGTAATATGCAATGCAAGTTTAGTAATAATAGGAGTAAAATCGAAGAAGTAATTAAGATTAATAGCCAAGAAATACCCAAAACAAATTTTTTTCGATCTCTTGGATCAATAATCCAGGAGAATGAAGAAATTGAAAAAGATGTTGTGCATGGAATTAAAGCTGGATGGGTGAAGTGGAAATGTGCATCTAGAGTTTTATGTAAGAGAAAAGTTTATATAAGGTTGCAACCTTAAAATGTAGAATTACATATGCACCTCAAAAATCTATCAGAAAGATGTTTTAATGTTTAAAAACCCTCTATTTGATCATCTCAACATCGAGATGTATGAATATTAAAAAAAAAAATAGAAAATTTTGAGTCTCAAAAATAGTGCTGCTTGCAACACATTATCTAGGCCGTCCATTTTCAAGATTTTCATATGTTTATATATCTCATTGATTTTAACTATTTTTGGAGTTTAAAATTTCCTAATTAGATATGAAAATAGATTTTAAGATAATCCTAAGAAATTTTTACAACAAAATTACATAGTTATGATAAAATTTGAAGGTGTGCCTTAATTGGATTGTTTACAGTCGCAACCTTATAGAAACCGCACCCTTTATGTAATTGTTATATGTGATCGCCACATACCAATAAAACTGAAAGAGAAGTTTTATGGGACGGTTGACTAGCCATGTTTTATAAGACGGAATGTTCGGTATCCAATAAACAACATATCCATAGGAATGTAGTTGAGACAAATAAGTAACAAGATAAATAAAAAAGTAGAATTCAAAATGAATACATACGAAGGAACTTAGGGGTAGCTCCAATAGACGATAAGATGAAAGAAAATAAACTTAGGTGGATTTGTCATATGCAGCATATACCTAATAGAACACCGACAACGATAAGTGATTTGGTTCAAGTAGAAGATTCTAAAAACGCAAAAAGAAAGCCCATAAGAATATAAATGCAAATAATGAGAAGAGATATATTGACTTATAGTCAAACTCAGGGCATTGGCCCTTGGTAGAGCATAATGGTAGAACTCAATTTGTGTAGCCGATCCCAAACAGTTGGAGATAGGACTCACATGAAGATGATAATGATAATGATGGTTTAGATAATGCATTACAAGATATACTATTTTTGTGACTTGAATTTTTTTATTTTTTATTTTAAATCCAAATAGATAATCTCAACCTTTAAATATATGAATATGAGAAATAAAAACTTTAAAGCCATTAAAATAGTATATCTCATGACGTATTATGTAAGGGAAAAAATTTATATAGAGTCAAGGCTCTAAACAATCAAATTAGAGCCCACCTCAAAAATTTCACTAGAAGAAGTTATTTTGATGGCCAAATATCCTCAAATCGATCATCTTGACATCAAGATGCATGGACACGAGAAAAAAAATGGGTTTCAAGTTTTGAAAATATTGCATATTGTAATGCATTTCTGGACCGTCAATTTTCAAGATTTTAAAATTTTCATAGATCTACTCGATCTATATTATTTTCGAAGCTTTAAGTTTTATAATAAACTATAAAAATATTTTTTAAAGCTATCACAAAAATTTCCATAGAAACCACATTTCTCGATACTATTTGAAGGTGGACTTTACTTAGCCTCGGCTCTGAACAAACCGCAACGTTACCCAAGCCATCTATTTGTAAAGTTTTTAATCATTTTTAAATGTGCTCTATCTAAAATGTTTGCGTAACTCTAAATTTCCCAATCGAGAGTGATTATAGGTTTTCATTTGAGGGTGAGCCCGTCTTTCCACAGTTTTGCGGTGCGCCTTACTGCCATTACATGTGCCTTCCCTAAAAGGGGCATGAATGGTGGCGGGGCAGCGGGCAGAGGAGATGTTGGCTTCACTAAAAGAGGCATGGATGGTGGCGGGGCAGCGGGCAGAGGACATGTTCAGAGACATCGTATGTACACAAACAAAGAGACAACATTTCATTTCATTTCATCCGAGAGAAGAGCATGAGTGAGAAAATCTGCAAAATTTTTTGTTTCGTTTAGAAAGAGAGAGAGATGGAGGAGAGAGTGGAGGGTCTGTGGTCAGATGTTCGCGAACTAAACCTTGGAACCACCACCGAAATCGAGCACCTCCACAACCCCCCAACCCCTCTCTGCTTCCTCAGAGACTTCGTCTCTCAAAACAAACCGTGCCTCATCTCCAACGCCACAACCCACTGGCCCGCCCTCTCTCTGTGGCCCTCCAACTCCTACCTCTGCAAAGCCCTAAAAGATAGCACCATCTCTCTCCACCTCACTCCGAATGGCCGTGCCGATGCCCTCACCACCTTCACCTTACCCAATAATAAAAATAGCCTCACCTGCTTCGCCTCCGCCTTTGTAAAACGCATGCCCTTCGACAGAGCCCTGAACCTCATAGCAACAAAAACTGAGAAGAAAGGGACTGTGGCCTATATGCAACAACAGAATGATTGCCTCCTTGAAGAGTTTGGGGTGATAGCGGGAGATGTAGCGGCGGAGGTGGGTTGGGCTACGGAGGCGTTTGGGTGCTCCCCAGAGGCAGCGAATTTGTGGATTGGGAACGGGGAGTCGGAGACGTGGTGGCACAAGGACCACTACGAGAATTTGTATGCGGTGGTGTCCGGGGAGAAGCATTTTTTGCTGCTCCCACCCACTGATGTGCACAGATTGTATGTCAAGGAGTACCCGGCTGCTCAATACACTTGTGATGATGATCACGATCTGGTACTACTGCTACTATTACTCTCTTCTTTACCTTACCTTATTCTATCTATGATGGGTGTAATCTCTCTCTCTAATCTGACTGCTAACTCCTTCAACCTCAACTTGAGCCGCAAACCTAGAGGTTGCATTTTCTGTACTCAAATTAAAGACTCACTCTCTCATAGCTTCATATCCGAGCTACTCTCTCTCTCTCTCTCTCTCAATTGAACTATGCTGTCTCTCCTTGCTCAAGCCGGATGCTGCTGCTCGCCCATTATTCTGTTATTTGGTTGTCTTCTCTTTCATGGTCTCCTGATACAAACTCTGGTTTCTTCTGCAAAATCATATCCCATTGGCCACGGTTTCTTCTGCTGAATTCAAAGTTATGGAAAGTTGTATCCAACTGTTTCTTCCCAATGTATGTTTAAATTTCTGCTGCAATTCACTTGTTTGGTTTGTATTAGATAAAAGAAAAAATGAAAATGCTTGCTTGGCCTAATGCTTCTTGCACAGTATTGGCTGGAATGGATCAAAGTTTTGAGATTGTAGTTTTGCTGGTTTTGTGGGGGGGTTCCATAGGAAAGTGGGGAGTTGAGGCTGGAATTGGAGGAGCCATTGCGATATATACCATGGTGCAGCGTGGATCCATATCCATCACCTGAGAGGAGAGGGAGGGAAATGTCTTTGTATCCAAGATACTTCAATGGCCCAAAGCCATTTGAGTGCACTGTCAAAGCTGGTGATATGCTATACTTGTGAGTTACTCACTTCCTTCCCTTTCTTGTTCATCCTGTGAGTACTTGAAGTGGTAAGAAGAAGCCTCTACAATTGAGGGGCATGTAAAATGCAACCCTTGTCCAATGCCAATGTTCAATGCTTCTACATATATTTTCTGCTGAATGTTTCATTTATATAAGATTAATTTTCATTATGGGTGCTTTCTATTACAATTATTCAGTTTGTCAGTAAACAGTCGGATTGGGAGATTCGAAGCATATAATGATCGATAATTTATTCTCAAGTGGCTCAACAGAACTTATTGATCACCTTCTACTTGGGGAATGCAGGCCAAGCATGTGGTTTCACCATGTTAGGCAGACCCCTGACAGCGAAGGAAAGACCATAGCTGTTAACTACTGTTAGTAGACCCCATAATTCCTTCATGCACATCCTCAAATTTGATTCTTAAGGTCTAGTTTTTCATGCACATGACTTCAACATTGTTCTATTGTTGGCAGGGTATGACATGCAGTTTGATATCAAATATGCATACTTTTACTTCTTGCAATCGATCAGTCTCCCATCAAATGATCCTGAAAAGGCTCAGCATCCAGATACAGAAGACTATAAGAAACAACAAGTGCTTCAAATTCCAATTGGTGAGCAAGAGGATTGACTGTTCCTTTGTTTTTCGGGGCAGCAATCAGAGATCACTAGTACATAAACTTGCAGAACTCAATGAATTTGAAGTTCGCTGAATTAATCATGCAGAGAACTAAGTAATGAAGACGGAAGACAGTTTTCAGAGCCGGTCACAGAATGTCAAGTTTGCCAAGACATAAAGATGCAGAAGTTGGGATATTCTTGTTTCATACTCTTCAACAGTAACAAATAAAGAAAAATATTCCTTTTAAAGTAATGTTGACGGTCACATTGATTGCTGTGAAAGATATGTACAGAATTAAAATTTAAACCAAAAAGCACTATACATCCAGAAAATGTGATATAACTATTGAAACCCCACATATATATATGCCGAAAGCTCAAAAAATGTGAGAAAATCGGTCCTAGATGAGATGCCTGAAAATGCTTTACTCTTAATGAGGCCATGGGCTTCCGAATTTACCTGGAGCCATGTATGTCGCCAGCAGATGTGTGTCATCCAATAGAGGTCGAAACAATTTCAAAGAGGTGGATGGCTCATCCACGGACAGAGTGATGCTCTTATAGCCCGAGAGATGACGTTCTAGGAATCCTTAGTGACCAAAATGGGGTTCCAATTTGGGTTAAAATTGGAACCTTCTTTATCTCTAAATGTTTGTCTAGTGTGAAACCTTCTTTATCTCTAAATGTTCCCCAATACCAATAGTGTTGGGGTTGTCGAGAGAGTAACCATCAAAGTTGAATTTGGTTTGGCCTTTCTCTCTGGGGTCTCCAAGGGGAAGCTCATGGAATTTGTAGGGGTATTAGATGTTGCATCACTTGCCACTCTTCGAAGAAGTCCATAAAGGAGTGGTGCCTGAAAAGTTTATGGCGTGAAGCCCGGAAGGTGATCACCAAAGCATGGATATGGTCCTTGAAGTCCCCAGAAGTAGACTCCTTCCCGTGGAAAATGATCTTATTCCTTTGGGTTCATATCATCCACAGAGTGGCTGAAAAAGAGGCATGCCAAAGAAAGATGCCCAACGCTAGCCAAGGGGAGGATTTGAGGGAAAGGAAGAGTTGGGTGATTTGGGAGTGACCCACATCCAATTGAAGAGCTGCAACAAATTCCCCAACAAGGCCCATGCTGTATCTCAGTAAATGACGAGGAGTGTGTTAGTTTCTTCATGATTTGCACATGGCGCCCCTGTTGGGAACTGATAAGCCCCTTCTTGAAACTGGTCCACAATTACCAGCTGAATACTTCAATCTTGGGGAATAGAGGTGATCCAGACTCTAGCAGCAAGAGAAGGGGGAGAGAGGGGGAAGTAGGTTGATGCTGCAGCTTTTGATAGAAAGAAGACAGAGAACTTGCTCAAAGCAACTGCCAAGCAATTACTCTCTTTGCCTGTGACTGGGAGAAAGGTTGATTGTAAGAGGGAGGAGAGAGACTCAAAGTTACATCTCCTAAGGCAATGGATGCAAGGCCTCATTTCTATTTGGGTAGGGAAACCCTATCCCGTGAGATAAGGTGGAATTTCTTGGTTTCCCTCACACCAGACCAAAGAAAGTTCTTCATCAGTTGTTCAAGGTGGGCCATTATGATGGTTGACATTAGGAATAGCGACATCTGGTAAACAGGGACATTCATACATAGCCTATGAACCTGCCTTTCCAAGCCACAAGTTTGCAGTCGAAAAAGCCTATGAACCTGCCTTTCCAAGCCACAAGTTTGCAGTCAAATTTTTTGATGATAGGGTCCCAAACCTGCAACTTTGGTTTACCAATATACAAGAGCAAACCTAATTATTTGAAGGGCAGCTGATCCGCTCCACAACAAAACATCCACAAGGTTGTGGATGACTTGGGCCTCGGTTGCAGCACCCATCATCTTAGATTTAGTCACGTTGGCCCTTAGCCCACTGGTTCAAAGAATTTTACATAGATTGGTATGGGTAGCATCACAAAAAAGGAGTCTGTTAGAGATACGAGATTACTGGACGTTTGTTGCTGAAACTAAAGCCTCTCAAGAGTCCTTGTAAGTACGACCTATCAATGGATCTACTAAAGACTTAGGGAACAACAATGAAGAAGGGGCAGCAAGGATCGCCTTGTCTGAAACCTTGGGGAAAGAAAGAAACCTTTAGGGAAGTCCTTAATAAGGGTGGGAGATGCAACCCTGCATCCAGGCCCTCCAATGGTCTCTGAAGTCCATCATAAGGAGGCTCTTCCAAGATATCCCAACCAACATGGTCATAGGCCTTCTACCAATCAAGTTTGATCACTGCCACTGGGATTTTGGAAAGTTGCCTTGACTGGATGCACTTATGGGCTACTAGAGCCCCATCTATGATCTGTTGGTCCTTGACAAAGGCACCCTAGTTCGGGGAAATAAACCAAGAAAGAACTTGAAGGCAGGGGACAATGACTTTGCAGAGGATTTTTTATAGGAGTTGTTGAGCAGGCTAATCGACCTAAAGTATTTAAGGTCCTCTGCCCCTTCACTTTAGGGACCAGAGCTATGAGGTTGCACTCATGGCCATATGGATAATGACTCCATAGAGGAACTCATGGAAGAGTGGCATGATATTAGGAAAGAATTCCCAAGAAATTCCAAGAAATTATGTTATCCGCTCATTCCTGCCTTCAACCATCTTTCCTAGGTTCATCGATATCGAATCAATCAGAATAAAAAATAGTCTCAAAAAATATTGAACATGGCAATGGAGTTAATCATCAGGGTAGTTGGCTCTATCTTGACCAAGGTCCTTGATGGCTCTAAGAATCTCTTCAGTAGAAAAGGGGCGCTCCAGGAAAACTCTAAATGGAAAGGTCTAGGCCCTCTCGAAGTTGGTTGGTTGTCTAAAATAATTGGCCTATGGTCGGATGTGGGTTTTGGGAGAGCAACGTCGCAGGTACCAAGAAAGAGGCATCCCAATTGGCTCTATCAAGGAATCTATCGAGCTTAGATAGAGAGGGACTAGAGGAGTGATTCAACCATGTGAAATCAGCGCTATTCAGGGGGATATCGATGAGAGAATTCATGAAGATGAAGTCCAAGAAGTCATGCATACTAGAGGTGAACTTCGTGTTGGTATTTCTCTCAAAGGGCCACCTAGTAACATTAAAGTCATCGCTCATACACCAAGTAGCAAGGGCCATCAAAGTGACAAAATCCAGCTCCTCCTAGAGAAGATCCAAAGAGTGGATGAGTTGGGGCCATAGACGACACAATTTCTAGGCAAGGCCATCGGAAAATCAGAAAATAATGGTGATCCAATATACAGATACTGTGAAGAGAAAAAAGCGTGAAGGGTTGGGTCCCAAAGGACCCAAATCCCACTGAAGGCTACTTATGCTTCAAGAGCTCTCGTTGGCAAGGCCAGGTACCCCAGATCTGTCGAATGGCAGTCATGGTTGGCTAAGGTAGCTTAGTTTCAAGAATAACTAGAACTTAGGGTTCTTGTTTCAAGAAGGGCCTGAATGGCCTTATGCTTATCAGGGTCTCCTAGACCCTCGAATGTTCCAAATAACTATCTTCATCGGGATGGCCCTTGGGGGAGGGCATGAGCAATTGGCTAGCAAGGGGGGCTGAGACAGAGTGAAGGGAGGATTATGGTCCATGATCCTCCCCTTCATACCTAAGCCCAAAGGTATCTGACTTTAACACTTACTTTAGATCTGGTTAGGGTGTCTGCTTTGATGAAGTCGTTGTTTGCCTCAAGCCCATCATACTGGAAGCCCATCTACGTAGTTTAAGTCCATCGAATGGAACGTCTCAGTCACTGAACTTAAGACTCTTGGTCAGAATAGCTTCAGCAAGGTGGGTTGAAATCGTCTGTAGTTGTTGGGATTGTAGGCCCTTGACAGGGGTTGGCAAGGAGGTTGAGATAGTGAGGGCGGCTAGAGAGGGTGCCAAGGTTGGTTTGACCCCATGCACCCCATGAGCATGTTACTGAAGCAATTGCTTGACCCCATGAATAGGTTATTGAAGCAAGGGCACAACCCATGAACAGCTTATTGGAGAGGCTTGGGTAGTGCAAGGGAATTGCTCCTGGATGGAGGAAGATCGAGGGGTCTAGGGGGAAAAGAAGAGGAAGAGTGGTAGACGAAAATAAAACGACGATAGGAATGAGAACCCTTGGTGCTTGAAGAAAGGCGATCCTAGTAGGCTTGGAGTGGTGAGTTGTGTGAGAGGTTGGCGAAGGAGATGAAGGGGACACGTGAGGCCAAGGTTTAGAGGAAGTTGAGGAAGGGGATCCTCACGTGAGGCCAAGGTTTACGGATCCTCCATTGAAACAAGAACGGTGGGATGGTGCCATGGAAGATGGGTGCCGGTCGTAGGTGCTTCAATGGACTAGCTATGCGAGGCGAAAATGTTGGCCGGTGACTGGTTATAAGGAAAGCAGGGAGGGGATGGAGAAGGAAAGGGCTGGTCCTGCCAGTATGGTAGTGGGATGAGTTGTAGGAGGGAAGCCCTTGGGGGGGATAGGCGATGAAGAGTGAAGGACTTAAAAGTGCTGTGGGAGGGGAGGAAGGAAGAAGGTAAGGCTTGGTAGGTGGTGAACGGGGGAGCGCGGGTGATGTGGACATAGGAGGGTCGAGAGTTAGTTCGGTGGAAGGGTAGACACTCGGCATGGGTGGCACCTTGGGCTAGTTCGGAGGAGGCTACTTTGTAATAGCATTCAGAGCATGGCATGAGTGGGCTGAGGGTTAATGTCGGTGGGGAGATGCATGGGTATTGGGAGGGGCGCATGGGAGGGAAAGATTAGGGGGTACTGTGCCAAGGGGAAATAGCACACTGATCTAGGAATGTGAAGGGGTGGGGGTTCAAGCGTTGGTGGGCCAGGTTTATACGAAGATCTGAAGGCCCCCAAAGTTCTAACTCCAAGGTAGCAGATGAAGCAAGGCCATTTTGAATTGGAAATTCTTTGAAACAGGAGCACTGTTGGCACTTGCTGCGGACCGGAAGGAGAAGAGGAAGGTACCATCTAGCAACCCTCAACAATTGAGGTTTGGTTGGTCCGTGGCTCCTGCTCCCACTGGGGGTGTGGGTGCGGTGTTGGGGGCTGTTGTGTGTGTGGGCGTGAGTGGGGCATGAGGGGGGAAGGCTTGATTCCAACCGCGCCACAAACAAGGTTAGAAAGACGAAAACCAGACAGGAAACGAGGGAAGAGAAGCGCTAAGGAGAGAGCAGAGAGGCTTTGCCATTCCAAACTCCCAATTCCTAGAGGAACCCAGACAATCATCAAAACATGGTAAACAATATAAAAAAACCATTGGTTCATTGCAATTGATCATAATCATCATAAGGAGTTCGATAATTTGTTTAGGCTGCATTTGGAGACACTTCGGGAATAAAGGCATGATGCATGATATAGTGGCCATCAACCCTAGCAGTTTTGAATGCACAATCTTTTTCCTGCTATAATGCAAAACGCCAATAAATAAGCAGCATTCTGTATTCCATACCAAAAGGGGTCTTGACCTCCTTTTTGCCCCACTGTAAATTCAGAACCCCTGCTGACACGAATCCATCGGACCAATGGCCATAATTGATCCCAAGTCAAACCTTGACTATGGAGATGTTTGTGGCCAACGTACCACAAATATCAGTCTCACATTGCATTGTTCCAAGAAAGCTCAGAATCAAGCCACACAAAAAGATAAAAAAAAAGACCATGACTACAAATTTTAATTTGCGTAGAAAGCTGGATGGTTTCTCTTTCGTGGCCAGCAAGCACCAGCAAGCAGCAATCACTAGTGAATTCAACTTGTATGACCCAATGTATTCTAAGTTGCGGAGCTATAGCATTAAAGCCAAAATCGCCTGATCAACAAAACTCTCATTTTGCTCAGAATATCTTGCCACCGAAGATAATCATTTGGAAAAGATCCTCGAAGATAACCTTTCGGACCACACTATCAAAGCAATGGTTACATCCCCCCAACAGTTCCGCCAAAGCATAAACTCAATTAAACCAGAAGAGGCTTAACTACACGAACTCTGCAAGGCAAGGGCCTTGCTATCAGCCCATCAGTGATCCACCCAGCTGCTTGACTGTCATTTTTCACATGGTTGAATTCTCTCTGCACGTAGTCATATGATAGTTGCATCTTCCCACCTGGTTTGCAGTCAGTGGACGCACTTCTTGAGTCAATACCTGCATTTCGCTCGAGCCAATACAAGTAACTTACCTGAAACAATGACTTGAGCATGTCTTGGGGAGAATAATCTTCTTTTAGTACAACCTGTTCATAACCAAAATAGTTTGACAGAGTATCAAAAAAAAGTCCAAAAATTTCAATCTCAACTACATATTGAATTATCGATAGAAATCAGAGTCAGTTATTAATACAAAGAACAAGCAAAAAGAAAGATATTGGAGCTGAGTTACAAGTCAACAACATATGATGGAGATGAGAATAGAGCATGTTTATGGTATAATTTCGCTCAAAAGGACACATGGGAGAAAACCAATTAGAATCCAAAGCTTATGGCATGGGGTTAGCAACCACTAATAGACCAGATCCCACAAGAACTTCATCTGAGTTGATTGTGATTGTGCAAGAACACATTGATGGATGACCTCTTGGGTAGCCACTTCAATGCAGCCACAATTAACAAGAAAGAATAAGGTAAAAGAAAAATTCCACGCTAATGAACTCACACAATATTTCCCTTTCTGTTCTGTTAGAATATATCCTTCTTTCTCGAAGAGATCAAAAAGAGCCAGCACATCCTCCTTTTTGCTGACAACATCACTAAGCTTGCAGCCCAATTGCAACCTGCTCTCAATTTGAGCAGCTGCTTCTTTGGCTTCTGCGGAGAGTACCTGAGATTGCGCCTGCAATTAAACATTGTCCAACGATCATAAATTTAAATACAAGATTTTTGCCAGAATTCATATTGGGAAAGTCGTGTGGGCGCACATCATTTGCATGGCATACCATACACAGGTTGTTCTAGACAGCCATGTTGGAGATGAACTCTAGTTCCAATTACAGAGCTCACTTGAAACTAGGGTTCACCTCCACCTTTCATCTTGAGAACGACACAGACATCCGCCTGTGTATGGTATACCGGCATAGGTGTCACATTAAAATGCTTCAGAACAGTGAGACATACCTAAGTACCCATTCTTAGAATGGTGAGACATACCTAAGTACCCATTCAAACTTATACCTGATGGTGCAGGAATTCTAGAAATAAGGTGTAGGGACTCTATAAAAAAAAAGATGCATCTATTAAGGATTGTCGTTTGTCATGCATGTAAAATAATGAAACTACTGGTTGCAGTTGACATAAACTCCCCTCTTTAGAACTATAATTCCAAATAACCCCTCCGTCCTATAAATATCCCATAGAACCCCACAAGTTAAACAAAAACGGACGTTTAACCCCCTCATTACCTTTTTCATTGTCCAAATTACAAATTTTACCTTTCTTTTTTATAATAATCTCATCATAAATATTGAGTTTGTCATGCCACTTTTAACTTGTGAGGTTCATGAGATGAGAGAGGGACAAGTATTCTGGAAAATTTGTAAGAGAGAGAGAGAGAGAGAAAAAGGAAGGAAGAGGTCCATTGGTAAAGAAGAAGGAGAGAACTTTTCCAGGATTTAGATAACAGGGTGATTAAGAAAAAAGAAGGGTAAATTCTATAATCTGGACAATGGAAAAGGTGAGGGGGCTAAAAGTCCCTTTTTGTTGGGGGTTAAACGTCTTTTTTTGTTTAACTTAGGGGGTTCCATGGGATATTTATAGGACCAAAGGGTTATTTGAGATTATAATTTTAGAGAGGAGGGTTTGTCTTTTTCCCAAGACAAAAATGAAAGGAAAATATCAATTTAAAATGGTCAAATCACCTCAAAAAATAAATGGGGTGGTCAAGACAACATTTTTTTACCGATAAGTAGCTACTTTTTTAAAAAAAAAAAAAAAACATTCATGTTGAAATGCAAATAAAATAGTTAAGAGAGCCTGACAGTCGCAGGAGGAGAGGGGGTGAATGGGAATTCAATTCTTGACAGATATCACCTTAAGCAAGCGTCAAGAATCAAACAATGCCAAAATCATTGGAAGGGATCTCTAGAAGTGAAGAACCAAGAGACCTTCCTGGAAATTTGCAATTTTGTACAACACGGCAGCCATTTTATTAGGGGATCCCACATCCCTTCGCAAAGGTTCAACTTAACCATTGCATTGTCTGAAATTCTAATTACAGATAAGATTAACACTGACAAACACATGCATTTTATGGAAGAGGTGGGTGCCTAATAAGGCATTTGATTGTGAGGAAGAGAGGTTAGACCCACTTTGATAAGCACTGATGAAATCATCAACTTGTAAGCCACAAAAGTGAAATGCAACCAGTGGTTCTTAAAAAAGAGTAACAGGGTTGCCGAGAACTGGAAATCCAAGTTGACAGGACGGTTAATAGGAAGTCCCTGTCCTATGCCATGCTTAATTTATATAGCATGTCATAAAGTTAATGCTCAATTTTTGTATATATGGACAATATTGATACAGCCTCTCAGAGAGTGAAATTCCTGAAATAAGCATTACATTTTGATAAGAGATTCAAGGAATGGGGTTGGGGGCCAGGTGGTTCGGGGGGCAGGAGCCTCAACATAACGTCCCACACTCCATTCGCCTCATCAAGTTGTCAAAAAAATATTTTTGATTAGAAATTCAACTTAACAAGACAATCTTCAGATATGAATTATAAAGTCGGCATCCATAAAGAAATGATTATTGGATTTCCATGCGACTACATACTTTCCCTTCCATACATGGAAGGGAACTCCAAGCACATAGTGAGCAAAGGACTACATCGATGAAAAATGACAGGTATGGAAAAGTTGGAGACCATCATTTAAAACCATGTATTAGGAGTTACAATATTGAACTAGAGATAAGATTCATCAGATCGGCTACTCACATGTTGCACAGGAACGACCTTTAGAAATGAAGAGCCAGAAAAAAGGGGTTCCTCATCATTGACCTCTTTCACGGGAGGTACCTCACCACTGAGAAGATACTCACTGAATACCAGACCTGGAAAAAAATGACACAGATCCTTAAAACAAAATAATCACTATGAAGAATTGAGATTCATGATAGATCCCTATTAATAAACATAAATGATTAGGCATGGGAAAAATAAAAAATTATTTGCCATGCAAGTTTCACGTAAAGGTTCGCCTGCATAGAGAAAAGCATTCTTAGGCTTTCCATGCCATACATGATATTTTTAATCAAACTTCCTATAATATACATGATTGACCATTCAAAATGCATACAGATGCTGATGACATCCAAAAAGTGTTGAACTTGACATGCAAACCAGATGCAGCAACCAAATGTCACTTAATAATCAATAATTACATCATATCCACCAAGGACATCGATAAAACATACATTACTTGCTTAAAATGCAGCATTGATATGACAGAATGAGACATTCCATTACCATCAATAATTACATCATATCCACCAAGGACATCGATAAAACATACATTACTCGCTTAAAATGCAGCATTGATATGACAGAATGAGACATTCCATTACCATTGCTGTCCAGTTTCTCAAATGGACAGTTTCATGAAGGAATAGACACTTCTTCCCTACTTGAGACCAATTCTTCTAAATATAAAACCAAGAGATTTTTTTTTTGGACTCCATTGACATTTCAACATACTCAGATGCTGAATAGGTTTACTCTGTCATTGATAAACAGCGGATTGTTTGTTGTCTTATCTACAGAAGAAACAATCCAGTTCAATGGATAGGTGTTTGCTAGAGAAAAAACAATGATGACAGGATGATAGGAGATAGAAACCCAGACCTAGGGTTTTTTAATCTTGAAATGAATTGAAACTTGGCAAAAATAAGTCTTGAGTGGCATAGTCACCATGGAAGAGAGAAATCAACACCACAAGTTAAGTCAACACCACAATGAAAAAATTCCAACTATTTCTTGATCTCATCTATAATAATACAAGCTATGAAATTTCTAACCTATTAGCTTAGGTTACAAGTCATCTAAAACATGGCCAAAACTTCAAACTGGAAAGGAAACTATAATTCAGGAAATAGAACTAATACTAGCCTATTTCAGAAAGAAAATTTAATCCTAATTTAGAAGGCCCCATATACTTAGCCTCTTCTCTCTTGACTTCTAGAGGGCACAGCCCACTCTTTTCCACAAATTTTTGAGGTCTGCTCTTTCCTCTCTTGAATCTTCTTGTGGGAACCACAAGTGGAACAACCTTGTAACCTTAATAGGGTTCCCATCCTTGAAATGCTCTTGGCTGGATCATCATTAATCCCCTCCCCCCTCCGCCCCCCCTTTCTAAAAGAAATCAACCATGTCGAGTTAAAGCTGATGAACTTATTGGTCCTGTTTGCTTTTAGGCAGCCCTTCCTATTGATGAGGAAATCAAGTTGGTCACATTTGACATTCTTTACTCTCGTGTCTACTTGAAGCAATGTAGTTGACTCTCAGTCTTCATCAAAAGATACCAGTTTTGGGATCAGAGCCTGGAATCCATAGGATTTTTTACTTCTAAACCACTGGCAGCCTGTAAGAGTCTATGGTGAAAAGCTCAACCAAAATGAAAGGAATGATCATCTCATATGATGAATTGGATGATTGCAAGTGGAATCAGATGAATGAATTACAAAATCCTTTCCACGTTTTGATCGAAGAAAGATAAGTAGCCCACCTGTCACCTAATCCGAAGAAGGGCAAACGACCATGAATATCAATTGAGTAAGAAACACCCTAAGCATGTACCACCTGAAACAAGTGGCTCGGCAGAGGCCATACCAAAACCATCTTCCCCTTCTCTTCTGCAGCTTGAAGCACTTCAGCTCAATAACTTTGACGTGAAAGTAGTTTTGAGTGCCAGAGAATAACAATGACCAAACTTCCACAGTACACCAAGTGGTTGCTGATTTTTTTCGAAGAGTTGATCCACCTGCCCTCCTCAATTGGTTTATGAGTCTTGAGGATTCTTTTGAATGCTACACATTATGTGAGATGAGGGAGATCCAATTTGTGACAGCAATGCTTAAGGGATGAGATAGAGTTTGGTAACACAGTGTGGAAAACAAAAGTTATCGAGGTAGTCTAGCTCCTATGAACCTAGATGGAGATAAAGGCCATCGTAAAAACACACACAACAAAAGAAAAAAAGCAGTGTGGAAAAAGCGGCCGGAATCGCTACCTAGGCAATGCCTTATAGAGGGGTTGGGTTGCACAGGCACCTTGCTTAGGCCAACAAGTCAAGCCTGAACCAGAATGGCTGGTCCAATTCGGTCAGACTGTTGGATGGTGCCTAAGCTGTTCTATCTAAAATAAAAATCAGGCTTAGTTGAAAACCATTCAAAATCAATGTTTGACTAGTCGGAACAGTCGATTGGACTGGTTAGATCTGCTAAACAAAGTTGGGTATAGCCACTAAAGATGACTATCGTCATTAAATCACTATAGTAATGTGAGGTGTGCGCTCGTATTTATATATGTTGATTATATACTTTATTTTGATAGGAGATCGGAGATCGATCTCAAGATTTCCTGAACACAATCAAAAGACTATGGTAGTTTAAGGAGAAATTTAAGTTCCCTTTCTTGTCATGGCACTACAATCTCCAATCATTTTTACAGGAATCTCTGCTATGGAATTTTCATGATGCATATGTATATAATATTAAAAATTTATTTATTTTTATTTAAAATCATTTTATTTTTAATAATTTTAAATATTTTACCTATTTTCTAATGCATAAAGAAAACGTTTATCTAAGGGTCAGGCCCTAAACAATCAAATTTAAGGCACACCTCAAATATTCACTAGAAGAGGTTGTTTCGATGCTGAAAGCCCTCGATTAGATCATCTCGCCCTCAAGATGTATGGACATGAGAAAAAATAGATTTCAAGTCTTGGAAATAGTGCATCTTGTAATGTATTATCTAGACCGCCAATTTTCTAGATTTTCAAGTATGTATATATCTGCTCGATCTATACTATTTTTTAATCTTTAAATTTTATAATTAAAGATGAAAATAAACTTCAGGCCATCACAAAGATTTTTTATACTAAAACAACATGTTTCGGCACTATTTGAAGGTGCGCCTTACTTTGACTTTTTAGGGCCTCAGCCTTATACAAACCACACCAATGTATATATATATATATATGGGGGATGATCATATGTATTTTCAATACACTTTGTTCGTGTGTATGCCACTTTGGAACCGTCGATCTTAAATTTAATCACATCTAATAAATTTTACAAATGATTAACATTAATATATTTTTACTAAGATTATTCTTTTACTTTCTTGCCCTTCTCCCTTCCCATGAAAACTCTCCAGTGTTTCTCTGCCACTTTCTCTCTCTATGGCTTTCCCATTTCCTTTTCCCCTTTGCTCTTTTTAACAGTAGGGCTGCATTCCATCCATGGAGGTGAAGGTAAGCGTCGAACCAGCAAGGAGCAAATATCATTTTTTCATTTGGCTCTGATAAAAACCCCAACTGCTTGAAACTTTTCTCTCTCCTCTGTGGATTATCCATTTCTCTGCCCCACCTGTTTGGAACTTTTCTATCTCCTCTGTGGAAGATCCATTTCTCTGCCCTTTGAGTGCCCAAGACCCAACTATGAGGCTCTTTCTCCCCTTCGGGTGCCAAAGACCCAACAATGAGTCTCTGTCTTCCCATTTTGTTAGCCACGGCAATGAACAAAGACCCAACTGTGAATGGCTGTCCATCTCTCCATTCCTCTCTCCTTTTCCTTTGGGTGCCAAAGACCCAACTATAGAGGAGTTCTCTCTCCTTTGGGTGCCATGGCAAAGACCTAATCGTGGGCCTTTGGCTGCCTAACCAGAGATCGCAGGATTAGAAGCAAGGAAATCCCCCTAATAAAAAAAAACTAAAAATAAAAGAACGGACGGTCAAAGTAGTAGATAGAACTATGTGCGGGCTTCCCAAACTAGAGAGAAAGTGCAAATACTACTATGATGGTGGTTTTCTCAAAACCATCCCAACCTAGAGAGAGAGAGCAGAGCATGTGTTGGTTGCTAGTTTAAAAAATGGTAAAAGAGATTTGAAAGAGGATGGAATGGGTGCCACACTAGAGAGAGCCATGGAATGGGTGCCCACAGCAGGGAAAGACCCAAAGGACTCTGTGTCCCGAATGTGCATTTGTCACCATGATTCAATTTTGTGGGAGAAGGATGTGAAAGGAGCTCTGAATTAAGAGGATGAGAGGATTCTATTTCTAACATTTCAGGAAATAAAATACTGAGAGATTGGATTTGCGGAGGCCCATTTTGGTGGATGAAAGAGCCTGTTTGATAGCAGCCTTGAGGAAGAAAAGCATGTAGTGCTTTGGATGCTCATCCTAGAAAGGTGCAGGAGAGAGAGAACAGAAGGCCAAAGACAGAGAAAGGCGGGGTGTGAAAAGGATAAAAAGGGATTTATTCAAAAGATAGGGCAAAAAGACTCCAATACACCATATTACTGTGTAATTGAAATACACAGGATCATTCCCCTATATATATATATATATATGAGCTCGCAACCCATGCAACAGTATACGCCAGGCAACTCATATTCAACCGTAGCACAACCAACAGCAAGCATATATTTTCAGTTTTTTATTTTCAATTTTTTTAAATCCTTTGAGCTGACATCTTGGGGAAGGGACGGCTGAACCTAGGCGCACAAGGAAACGAATATTAAAAAATCAGCTGCACAAAAAGGATGAAAATGCCCCCAACCTTGTTTGTGAAGATAGGCCATCAAATGCTTCAATCTGAACCATCTAGCTCACAATTATTTTGTAGTCTGGGCCGCTCAGAAAATCCTCATCACACACACAAACATATAGTGGTGCTCTCAAATAAGCGATCCCATGTGCTCCTGAGGTAAGGAACTTTAGGCATGGATGATACCCGGCCTCTGCTCCCCCTCCCAATAGCTATGTTCAACAACTAACTAAATATAACACCAAACTCTCTTACGCGATCTAGCATGACATAGCCATAGTGA